TGACTCGACCTCCACCCAACTGTGAGAAGTTGCTCAGACTCCTCCAAGCTGAGCTTCCTCCCCCACCCCCACCCCCAGGAGGACACATCAGGGACCTGGCTGCTCCTGGCCTGGTGACAGCCTTCCCTCCTGAGCTTTTTCCCGAGTCAGGGCAGGGTACCTGATCCCAGGCAGCAGCCAAGAAGCTGCTCCGACCTAGTTTCAGAGGCCAGGCTGGAGTCCAACTCAGAGACAAAGGTGCCTTTGCTTGGAGCATCAAAAGAGGTATGGCCCCAGGGGCCAGGGACTCTGTTTGTAGAAAATGACCTGACCAACCGCAGAGGAGTCGAAATGGGTGAGTCCCCATCACCGGGAGCCAAAGGGGGTCATAAGATGGGAATGGGGTAGGGGCTCTTGTCCTTAACTCTACTTCAGACCCAAGTCCCCTCCCTTCTTGTGAGTCCCATTTCAGGGCCTTGCTTCATCCCTCACCACCCCCCCCATCTTCCTCCACCCACTCGTTCATAGACTGTGACTGAAAGTCAACTGAGCCGCTTTGCTGGGGATTTTAGGGAAACTTTAAAGGAGGCTGACATCCAAAAGATTAACTTTTTTCCCCTCCCCACTTCCTTCCTCCCGTCAGGGCAAAGACGGTGATCACCTGGAGCTTCAGCAGCCTTCTTGAAACTATAAGACAAACTAGAGAAAGGAAGCCAGCGCTACGGATGACGGAGCTGGACAGTGGATGAGCCAATTGCCTGTTGATTCTTCCTGGGCAAAGCCCTTCCTGCCTGAGAACAGTACAGTTGGGAGAACAGAACCCTTTGGCTGTGTGAGAGCAAGTAAGCTTGGCTCCCCGGGGAGCCACTGATATTTAGGAAATGTTCCTTTATGTCCAGCTGAATTGACAGGAGCCCATGCAGCCCACACACACTCTGCAAATTACTCAAGGATGCATCTTCTGCCATGATGAACAAAATCCCTGTTTTAAACATGATACATTTTCCAAGGGCAGAGGGGCAGGAGGGTCCCACCTCTCCTGTCCCAGAAGTCCTTGTTTGTATGTATCAATCTGGAAAGTGAAAGACAGGCAGAGAACCCAGGCTGGGTAAGATGCTCTCTCTTATCGGCACCTCAGCCTCTGCTAAAGACAACCGGTTGAATCCTCTGAGGCCAGCTGATCATCGGCCCCCATCTCCTTCCTGTGAGGCAGCTTCCTTCAAACTGTCTTTTCTTTGAGTACTAGGATCCACCCAGAACCTGTGGGGAGCCCTGCCCTTGACACACCCCCAAATCTTAGCCGTGGTGCCAGAGGTAGAGAAGAGCCCTGAGGCTCCTGGCATAAGAGCAACTTATGGGGACCCGTGACCCCACCCACATGCATGCACATGTCACATCCACAAATCCTCTAGCACGCCCAGGCCATTCTCAGTTCTCGGAGCCTAAACATTGTACGCAGGACAGACAGAGCACAAAGAGGGTCCCTTTCCTAGGCTGCCACTGTGACAGTGCAAAGACCAAAAATGACCTAGGCCACTTCTGGCCCCTGAGGGTGGGCATGAGGATGTGGCTTTTGAGACATGGCATAATTCAAAGCCCCCTTGGCACTGGTGAAGAAAGGCTGGTCTGTGCTCCGGTTTGGGTCTTTGGCGTAGCTTACTTAATGTTTTCAGTATGACTCATCTCCCATTCGTGATGATTTTCAAGTAACAGGGATCTAGATAAGCTAAAGGATAGCTGCCATTGCTTAGCCGGGAAGCGTCCGTGCCAAATCCCGCTGTGCCACCGCCAGCAGGTCCGTGCCTAGCGAGCCTGGGATTCCTGGCCTTTGGCCCCTGCGTGAACCCAGGAAGCCCTCCGGGCTGCCTGCTCTTGCCCATTTCCCTGTGCTGAATGGGCGAGTGGTTCCTTGGCACCTGTACACCTTCCAGGCAGCTGCTGCGTGTACTGTCCACTGAGACAGTGAGTAAAGCAAGTGGATGTCTCCTTCCTCTGGTCCTGGGGGTGGCTGTGATGCTAAATGGAGGGCACACCAAGTGACTAAAATGGGAACTGTCCTTTGGTAGTGATGTTGACGAGGAGGAGGAGGAGGACAGTGATAACCATGATGGTAAACGATGTCACCTAGAACCCAAGGTTTCCTGGGAGGACCGAGGAGCAGTGCCCATTTGCCTAATAAGTGAGCACAGTGGTGAATGAAGAGCTCACCACGGATTGAGGCCTCAGGAGAGACCTTGCTTCAAGGGCAAGATCCCTTCTTAATAGACTATCACAGGGCAGTGGGGCCCAGGACCGATGCGATAGGCTAGTCACATCTCTGTGGACATGGCTGTCCTGGTAACGGAATATCCTGGCAACTGGGATAAGCATCCCAGAATCTTCCCAAGGCTCACAGCCATGGCATTCCCATTCTTGCTTCCTGGTGAGGAAAACGGGATACCAAGGGCTTCAAGATCTCACCAGCACCACCCCAGACTCGGACACAGAGGTGGAATTGTAAAAACCTCTACACAAAAGGTCATGGGGCAGGGATCCCACTACGGTGAAGACCAGAGGTAGACAAGGCCGCAAGCCACAGGTTCGCTCCAGGCGGAGCACACCACAACAGCAGGAGTCTGGGCACTGTTGTGAAGTTAGGAGTACTTTCTGTTTGCAGTTAGCTGTCCCTTCCAAAGGTGGTCTCGATTCCTGGCATGGCATGAGCCCCTGGGACTCCTGCCTGCAGCAACACTCAGCTCAGCTCTGTGTGGCAAGTAGGAGCCATAACAAAGCCACAAACCATGTGTGCTGTGTGTGTGTTCAGATGTGTAAATACAGACCTGCACCTGCCCTGGCACATGCATGGAGAGGTCAGAGGTCAGCTTCCAGTGTTAGCTACCACCCCTTCGCCTTGTTTGAGATGGTGTGTCTTGCCTGCAGCCATGCATTCCAGGCCCTGCCCCCCCCCCCATTTTGCCATGAGTACTGGGATTACAAAGGTCACCAAATCTAGCTTTACATGGGTCCTGGTGATCTGAACTCAGGTCCTGCCTCCTGTAATTCACACTCGTCACTGACCACTGAGCCATCCCGTCAGTGCACAAATCATGGTTTTGGCATTTGTTTTCACATTTGTCCATGGCCTTTTTCTTGTCTTGTTCAACAGCTTTCTCCTGAGACCTGTCAGTCCATCTCAGGCTTGTCTCTCCCAGTAAATGGCAATCAGATGTCAGAATCCTCATGACTGCCTGACCTCCCCACGGCAGATCAAAATCGACATCCCAAAGAAACACAGTCCCAACGACACTCACAGGAGGTCTGGAGACACAGAACCCACAGACGGACGCACACCGGGGACCAGCACATGTGTGACATGGGAACCCATGTTGGTGTGCCTGGCCCACAGACGTACTGTGTCACAGCTCTTGATTCCATGATGTGGCATTTCTCTGGGTACTTGAACAGCTTACTTACCAACAGAGCCAAACGGATGGGTCTCCGTAAGAAAGGCGGGAAGTCTCTCCTGCTAGTGGGCCTGAGCTGGCACTATTGTTTTTAGCCTTAGGACAATTGCTCCCTATGCTGGAATAGCAATGACTTTCTTTAAATGTGTTGTAGTTGACTATAAACCAGCAAACCTTCAGAGGATTGGAAAATAAGGGGATCTGGCAGTGGTAATGTTGCTGGAGTGCCCTCTCCACCCAGGCCCTTCTTTAAGCACCAGGCAAGTATTAATTCCATGGGCCCCTTGCACAGAGGTAGATGGACAATGATCTGGAAGACCAAGGTTTCCACAAGTTGGACAACAGGGCCTGGGGCCCAATAGCCCCTCTTCAGAGCCTCCCCTCCAATCCTCTAATCTTGCTATCCAAGTTTTGTAGCCTCAGGGTGTGGCCCCTGAGAGCTGGGACCCACCCACAGTTATCTAAACACAGATAAACAGTCTTCAAGTAGACCCACAGAGCTTGCTGGAGAAAGATTCAAACCCCTGCAGTGTCCTGTGAAGCATCCAGCAACCTCAGTGGGTTGCAGAAGCAGTATACTTGCAGAAGCCACCTTCCAAGTTCACACCTCACCTGAGTCTCCCAATCCACCAAGGTGTGAACAGTCCACAAGGGGATGGGTAGAGCTGTGGCTCTAGCCATCCTGGTCCTTCCTAAACACCAGAGTTCTCACTTAACAAACTCTATGCTCCACCAGAGAAGGACCTGAAACCATAACCATCAGCTTGAGGGCATGCTAGAAAACCAAACACAGTGTTCCTGACAAGGGGACAGATCCCTCAGGCAAGGGACCCCTCAGGCACATCACAGGAGAAAACTGAGAATTTCTGACTGTCTCCTTCACACAGGGGCAGCCAATGCTGATTTCCACCAAAGACCGAGCTCCCTCCTGGGCCAGGGCAGCAAGCCAATGCCGATTTCCACCAAAGACCAAGTTCCCTGCTGGGCCAGGCCAGCAAGCCCGAGTTATGCTCAGAGCGGATGAAGCCTCTCTCAGATCTCATTCAGCCAGGGTGCTGACTCATTCTTAACCCGGGAAGCCCCACACACCTAGGAAGTTGCTCAGAACAGGATCTGATCTTCCCTGCAGTCTCTCTGCCACTTCTAAGCAAGTTACCATTTTTCAGATTTGCTTAAAAAGAGGCATAACAGTTACTGTAACAGTTACTTGACAGTAAAAGTATAAGCTCATAAGAATAGTAACTATTCATGTGACCTCAGGCCACTTCACACCCATATCTTCAACCATTCCCCTTCTGGTTCCCAGTCTGTGGCTTTTCTTTCTGCCTTAAAGCATGATTTCCCACCTGAGCATTAAGGGAACAGAAGGGATGTAAAATATAGTACTAAGTCCATTTGCACATGTTCGGAGAAAAACCAAAATTCTGCCTCGCTGCCGTATTTCTTGCCCTGCAGCTGGACAGCTCAGGCCTGGCTGCTTAGGTCAGTGGCCAGAAGCTGCCCAGGGACTCTTTCTTCTGCTTCTCCAGAGTGGAAGCTAGTCCAACCTCAGTGCCCAGTTAGCACAAACTCACCCACCTCCATCTCCGACCTTCGCTTTGGCTTCTAGCTAGGAATCTGAAGCAGCTTCCTTCCCGGGGCAGGCATCACTACATCCCAAGCTCTCTTCTGAGACAGCACAAGACACAGTTGGCCTTCACAATGCACAGCTAAGAAACTCCTCCAGAGTCCCGCAGACACAGCAGAGGTGGGGTGGAGGCAGGGGGAGCCACTTTTCTGACATCACAGACCTCCAAAGTCTGGGAGAAGCAGCGTCTACCCCAGGACACAGCAGCTGTCACAGCTCTGAGGCGCACGCAGACATCATTGACAGGACGTACTCACCAGGGAGAAGCGGGTGAATGGCTCCACCTTCCCAGCCACTGTGCTGTGAAGATCCCAAGACATGCTCAGCTTGCCTGGAAAGTCACTTTGAAACTTAGAAAGCAGCCACTGTAAAGCCACTGAGTCCCCTCCATTCTCAGAGATGTCCACATGATTAAGAAAGAAAAAAAAAAGGAAAGAAAGAAAGAAAAGAAAAGAAAAAGGCGCACACCTCAGCCTTCATTGTCACTGGAACCAGATGACTCATGCTGACTCAGAGCCACCACTTCCTCTCCCGACATTCTCTTCATACTTTGTGAGCAGGGCTGGTCTGATTCCCAGGGTCTCCTCCACCACCCTTCCGGAAAGAGCAACTTCCCAGACCCTGGCAGTGAGAGGCTCCAGCTTACAGCCAGTGATTACCCTCACCAGGGAAGAGGAACTTTGTTTAGCAGACTCGGGGACAACTGAAAAGAAAAGGCAGAGATCTCACAAGTAATTGTCAGATGTACATGGATACTGTGACACGCTGGCTCTCTAAAACACAGCTCGCGGAAGAGGAAAGAATCCATCTTTGCCGTTTTGTTAGGGCATCTGGGTTTGCTTTGCCCTGATAACACCCATTTCCGTTCATGCTTTCTTCAGCACATAGTCCTGATCTAAAGCCATGGTGTATTTGAGTTGCTTGTGAGGAGCATGTGTGTCCTGAGCATGTGAAGACCTCAGGAACTCGGGCTGCAAGGATAGGCTAGAGTACCAAGGGAGGAAATCAAAGTTATGGCTCTCTAACTTTTAAAAACTACTGAACGTTTCTGTGCAAGAACCAAGAGCCCGCCTCTAAGTCTGAGTTTTCTTTTGAATGATGCAGAGGGCGGGGCTATCTTCCGCAGCAGCTTCAAGCATTTTTAAATTACGAGAAGTAACCCAGAGAAAGCGGAATCCACGTACCACTGAGCAGCCTCTGGTGAGACCAGGTAGGGTTGTTGCTCTCTCTATGCTGTCCTCCCCAAAAAACGTGCTGTCCAAAGTGAAATCTTTCTGAATAAAAATAGAAAAATAAATTAATTTTTTTAAAAAAAAAGCATGGGTCTCACTTTTGAACCATGCATTCTAGCATAACCTGGGTCCTCTGGAAGAGCAGCCTTTGCTCCTAACTGCTGAGCCATCTCTCCAGCCCCCTGAGACTGTCTTAAACACATACCGGTTAGGGAAGTGCAGTGCAGGCAGGGAGGAGAGAGGATTTGGTGGCACAGAGGCAGGAGTAGAAACCCATCCACAGTCTAAGGCAGTGTTTCTCAACCTGTGGGTTGAGACCCTTGTGGGGAGGGGGGTGTCAAACAACCCTTTTACAATGGTTGCTGAAGACCACTGGAAACACAAATATTAACATTACTATTCATAACAGTAGCAAAATCACAATTATGAAATAGCAACAAAAATGATTTTGTGTGTTAAAGTGTGGAAGCACTGGGAAGGTTGAGAACCACTGGCCTAAGGGGATGGACTACTTGGCCTTGGAAACAGCTTGCAAGTAGATTGATTTTCCTTCAAAGCCTCCAAATACCAGCCCAGCCTGTCCGGGACTCCAGTGCTGTGTGAGTGGACAATCTAATACAGTCTGCCCAGACTTCTGAGATTGCTAAATGTGCAAGGAGAGGCTTTTCAGTATAAACCACTCCCTTTGGGCAATCAATTCTATATCCTTAGAAGACCAGTACGCTTGGCCTATTTGCAAAGTCCAGAAAATAATAGTTCCTTCCTTTTAGGATAGTATGAAAACTAACGCTAACGGCAGGGCCTCTAACAGTAGTGAGCTCCTCTGGTCTCTCGCACCACCGAGCAGGTCAAAGCTGATATCTGATGATACGTGTGGTTTATTGTTGGAAAGTTCTCCTGCCGGTGTAGCAGTTGAGTCACAGGCCACAATCAAGAGTCTAGAGTTCAAATAGATGAATCGCACACTAAATATGTAACAGCTTTTCAAAATGAGGGCCTATGATCAAATGTATGACCATAAGCTGTTATTTAAACAGTGCAGACCATAATAAAGACAATGATAGTATATAGAGCACAAAGGACAGGAAGTGTGGAGCTCAACCATTCACAGATAGTCGACAAATAGGCTCCAGATGCCAAGCTCTGATGCAGGGTCTTGGGAAACAGCAAGGTTTAAAAAGAAAAAAAAAAAAAAAAAAGGTCCCTGTTCTCAGGAAGCTTCTATTCTCAAGGGATGGGACAGAAAATAAGAACACAGGAAGAACTCCAGATTGTGACATGAACTGTATGAAGAATTGCTAGCTTGTGTAAAGTCCTTGAGAAGAGTGGGCTGTTGAGACAGGGATGGGGCTGGGGAAGGAGGGAGGGAAGGGGCTGGGATTCAGTGGCTGGTGTAATAAGAAAGCAGGGGGCGGGGAGGGAGGGATGAAACCAGAGAGTGGAATGGTCTGGTTAGAATTTTCCAGGGACAACCCTTGCTGAAAGTGGAGCACAAGGAAGTCTAGTCAGCCCCACTTTGGTCTGGTGGTAGTGAGGGGAGCTGAGCAATGTCGTGTTGACAGAGGCATGGGATGGATCCGGTAGGGCAATGGTAGGTACAGATTGTTCCAGAAGAACTCTAAGGATCAGTCTCGGATTTTTGGGTTGAGCATTAAAGTGGTGCCACCTGCTAAGATGGGAGGGTTGAGGGAGGAGACAGTCCCAGTGAGGAAGAAATCACAGACGTGTTCTCTGTTCTAGCTACTCTTTGGGCTGTGCCTAAAAGCCAGCACATGGAAATGCTCATAAAGATGTCGGTAGACATTAAATGCTGGGAGATGGCCTGATTCAAAACGGATTGGAGAGGCAACGATCTAGAGGTGGAACCAAAGGCCTGGCCTGGATGAGAAAGATGCAAGAGATGAGAGGTGAGAGATGAACAAGGCAGTTTGGACCCTTGGCCCGTGAGCCTGGAGACAAGCAAGAAAACCAGGGCTCACAGCCAACGGCTGGAGGTTTCAGGAAGGCAGAAGAGGCTGGCTGGCCAGGACTACTGGGAGTTCCCGTCAGACGGAAGCAGGGCAGGGCATGCAGGGCAGGGCACAGGAGGCCACGGTGACCAGGTACCTGGCAGCCAGGGCTGGGAACAGGGTAAACTCAGCCAAAGGAACGGGAGTCAGATCCAAAGGCAGCACCCTCCAACAGGGCACAAGGAAGTGGATACGTGGCACTTTGAGGGCTCAGCCAGAACAGTGATATCATTTAAATGACAGAAGCTGGGCAAGGGGTACATGTCTATAACCCCAGTACTCTGGAGAGAAAGGCAAGAGGATTATGAGTTCAAGACCAGCCTAGACTACATAGTGAGACTCTTGTCTTAATTAAATACCCCGTCCCTGAATTTAGATGCCGTGGCTACCTGTGTCTGTGTAACTAGGGCTCCTGTTGGCCTGTGGATGGAGAAGACACAAGGTGTGAAGTTAGGTGCTCACTAGCACCCAGGACACTATCACTAGTCAGTGTTCCATGCTTTCCCTCAGTCCTACAGACACCATAGCTGTAGTCCTAGGTCACGTTCAGATCAGCTGTCTCTGGTTCAGTGAGGCAGGCAGTACTTTTGAAATTTAACAGGAAAACCTTAAAGTGACACTGTTATTAATTGCCAAGGCAGTTGTTCTTACTCCAAGTAATTCTTACTTGGAACAGACAGAAGAGCATGTGAAATGGCTTCTTTCTGTTATAAACACTATCTGATAACACCAATGTCATTTCCTATGATGTGATGTAATTACCAAGTTTCGTAGGCTAATATGTCAAAAAAAAATTAAAAGTATCTAAAACCTGCTTGGTCGGATGCAGACTGCCGTGGAGTAGGATGAAGCCTATTCTCTGAGAGACCATCTTGTTTGATGGACAAGCCGTTTTGTTAATAGCAGTGTTAGCTTCTTAATTTTCAATTCTCATCATTCATCATGCCCCGATGTCATCCTCAAACATACTGTGAACACATACCTGTCCCAGGCACTCTGCATCAGCTTTAATGGGACTGAGAAGAAATCACACTTCTTGAGGGTGGCTGGCGGGTGGCTGGATTTCATCCAATCTGAACTAAGTTGGGGATCTTATCTAACTGAGGCCACTCTGATTCTAGGCCTGAGAAGAGGTTCCCACGAGAGCACTGTGGTCCCTGAGGATCACCCCACCCCTCCCAGACCCAGCCCTGCCTTCCAGGCATAGAAGCCTCCATTCAGGCTTCCTGATCACCAGCCAGGCATGACTGCCTTCCCTGACCTGCTTCTTTCACTTTTGCAGTGACACAAAGCCACGGCTCAGCCAGACCACTCTCTGCGTTCACATCTGCACAGCATCTGGAGTCCAGCTGTGGTGGAAGTGGAAGGGGTTGTCCTTAAGTCTAACAGACTAAGGTTTGGAACTGGTCTCCCAACTCAGTGGCCTTGAAGACATGCCTGTCCTGAGGCTTCCTGCCCACATGTATAAATGGTGAAAAGCCACAGTCCTGAGAACTCCCCCACTGCAACATTCAGTGAGGGGCCTCCAGTAGAGTGGTTGGAAAGGGGCTCCCCTGGTCAGCACCAGCAAGTGCAGGTCATTATCGGGGCTATGTGATACTTTTGTCTAATACCACCCCTTCCTTAGTCCCTCCCCTTCCTGTCTCCCTCCTGTACCCGGCACTCCAAACCACCTCTTCTTAAGTCGGCCTGCCCAGGAGTGAACAAGGTAATGGTAACTTAGGTTAGAGAGAAACCTGACATTGACTGTGTGGGCTGGTGGGGCAGCCCCAAACTATGACTAGGCTATCAGGCACTTGGGTTTCTGGTCTGCCATCTGGAACTTGACTTTCTTTAGATGACTCCACAGACCAAAATGGTTGCTGAGACGCCAGCCAGCAAATCTATATTGTTCATCTTGACAATGGTGAGGTTCTGTAGTCTCTCCATTAGGAGAGAGGTTCTGTAGTCTCTCCATTAGGAGAGAAGGAAGAAGCAAAGGAGGACAAGAAAAGGGAAAAATGTGTAACATCACTCCTGTCCTCACTGCTATGGAGCTTTGCTAAAGCCGCTACTTGGTAAATTAAATTTCTCCATGAACTGAAGCAGGTCTCTCCTTCTCTCCTGGCTGCTAGACGTAGACTTGTCTCTGGGCAGGTCACCAGAAATACAGCAGGGCTTTTCGGTAAGCAGGACAAAGAAAAGGCGTATCTGTTCCTAGCCAGCAGTATCGGCCATGGCCTGGGACACAGGGTAGCCATCAGTGCCCTTCCGTGGGATCTGATGTAGGACACTGTGAAAGAGGTAATCCATGTTCCCTGTGGGCCACAGGTGGAGGGACACAGCCCCACCACACAGAAGACAGCAGCACCAGCTGAGGGAGGCAAAGGGTGAGCCCAGGAGGGAAGCTGCCCAGGGCTCTGGCTAGGGAGAACCCTAGTCACCTCTGACCCAAGCACATTTACATAGCGGCTCGTTTGTGCTGACTCAGCATCCGTGATGACAACTGCTTGTTGTAATGAATAGGCTAAGGTTATAACTGATGATCGTGACACTCAGGAGACATTAGGGGCCCTTTCCTGCTCTCTGCGGCCGCTTCCTCCATGCTGCCTCCTCGGAGGGTCTCAAAAGCACGATCTTTGCCTGAAGTCTTCCCGCCCCCCTCCATCAATGCCTCTTTTATTCTCTCCCTCCAAGAAACCCTGTTCAGTCCTGAAGCCCTGACATCCCAGTTCCCTCTTCTATACAAAGTCCCTCAACTCTTAGGCAGCCCTCTGATCCTTGGTGACTTAATGAGCTCTCTCCTTTACTGTAATCCTCTCTAGCCCGCCCCTGCCACACCAGACCTGAGGACCCAGAGGGAAAATCCCGTCCCACCCACACTGACTCCCACAGGTGACCTTTCGTTTGTAGCTGGATGACTGAATGAAAGCGGTGGAGTGAGCTTTGGTTTCTATGCAAACTACATCCAAACAGGACTCTCTGAGCAGGGCTGCTGGTGTGAACCCAGGGCTGCCTCCACCATCTCTGGGTGGCAGCTCTCCCCTCCAGGGATCATTCACGATGCCTGGCACACATTTTGGGCTGTTGGCTCAGGGAGGGTAGTCACCTGTGCGTCCTCACCTCTGACACATTCTTTTCCTTCTTTCTGTGGCAGCTCTTTGGTGCAGGGTGCGACATACTGAACTGACAGCTTGTTTGTTTTCCAGGTGGGGCAAGAATTCTGCGCTGCTTTGCGGTGAATGTTGTTCAGAAGTCCATGCAATCATTACCATAAGGGAGGGAAGTCAGGGCCTTGCTAAAAGTCAACTAGGCTAGTGTCAGAGCAGCCAAAGCCCTGTGGAAGGCAGAAAGAGATGGAGGGAGCTGGCCAGAAGGCTCAGTGGTAAAGGCCCTTGCTGCTAAATGTGATGAGTTCCATCCTCAGGACCCACAGGGTGAAGGGGAGAACTGACTCCTGAAAGTTGTCCTCTGACCTCTACATGAACCATAGCAAGCACCACCACCACCACCACCACCACCACCACCACCACCACCACCACCCCACCCCACCCACCCACCACCCCCCTGGCATACACACATACACTTTTTTTTTTTTTAAGATTAAGGGAGAGGCCTGGCCCCCTTCTTATTTTAGAAAAGAAATCAAGAGGATGAGGTAAGCGGGGCTGGAGGGGGTGGAGAAAGGCATCAGGATTACCTGTTGTGAGAGCGTGTGGTGGTTGGAATAATGCTCCCCATGGGCTCATAGATTCAAATGCTTGGTCACCAGGGAGTGGCACTGCTTGAAAGGACTAGGAGGTGTGGCTTTGTTGGAGAGGGTGTGGTCTTGTTGGAGGAAGTGTATCATGGGGGGCGGGCTTTGAGGTTTCAAAACCCAAGCCAGGCCCAGTGTCTCTCTCTTCTTCCTGATGCCTAGGGATCTGGATGTAGAATTCTCAGCTACTTCTTCAGCACCATGTCTGCCTGCAGACCACCATGATAATGGACTAAATCTCTGAAACTGCCAGTAAACCCCAATTAAATGCTTTCTTTTATAAGAGTTTCTGTAGTCATGGTGTCTCTTCACAGCAATAGGACTCTGGCTGAGACAGAAGCAAGGCAGGAAACTCCTTGGGCTGAGAGCTACATGTAACAAAACAGCATGTGTAAGAAAAGTCACGTACTGTGGGAGGAGGCAGTACCACACAGTAGCCTTATTAAGGGTCATGAAGCTGGAGTCTGGGGCCTTTTGCATCCCCTACCTGCCCTGCCTCTGTGGCCCACTACCATTTTCAGGAGTGTCATTCTGTCTTTTAATAAACTGTCTCTAAGCCTGTCACTATTTGTGTGTCCATGGCCCAGTTCTCTGTATTGGGATACAAGAACCTGGAAACCTTAGCAGGTGCAGTGTAGCCTCAGATCTACACCAATAATGTAAGAGGTCAGAACAGAGGAAACTGAGGCCTGGTGAATAAGCCTACAATTCCACCTATGTTGGAGGCTGAGGCAGAGGGATCAAGTTCAATGCCTGCCTGGGCTACAGAGTGAGTCCAAGGCCAACCCTGGCAACTAAAGAGACCTGTTGCAAAATAAAAGAGACCTTGTCACAAAACACAAAAAGGCTATGATGTAGCTCCACAGTAGGTGCCTAGCTTGCTCAAGGCTATGGGCTCAAGTGCTGGCAGTTCCCAAGGAGAAAGAAAAGAATGGACGGAGGAAGTCTTGGCTTATGTCATGTGAAAGTCAGGTGGGATTGTGACTATGTAGAGCTGACCGGAAACACACAGCTAAGGAACTGGCTCCATTCTGTTAGAAATGAATTACCAAAAAGACCTCGAACTGAAACACTTCAGCCATACAATAGAATATTACCCAGCCACAAAAAAGGAACGGCGTTTCCATATTTGTGTCAGTTTGGAAGAACCTGGAAGAACCTCACGCTAGGTGACAGAAGCCAGACACAAAGGACATGCCCTGTATGACTTCATTTGCATGAGATATCCAGAATAGACCCTAATGCAAATAAGAAGGGGTTTGTGGTGCTGGGAGGAAGAAATAAGAGGTGTGGGGGTTTGATGGACCTGGGGTTTCCTTTTGACAATATTTCTGAGATGGACAGAAGCGTTTGTGCACAGTGGGACTGTTGTTCTAAGTTCCACTACGTTGTCCATTTGTAGCGGTTAATTTTATATGTGAATTTCACTTCAAGTTCTAAAATCATTTCCCTCTTCAACTGGAGGACCCCAGACCTTTCAGAAATGGAAAACGAGCTAGAAAAAGTATGCAGCCCTCACCAAGATAACATGCCCAATCCTGGATTGTCAGCAGCTGCCCAATGGGAAGGGACTCCCTGAGCACAAGCCAGGACCCCAGAGAATGACGAGTAGGAAGGCTCCAGAGAGGGATAATCTTGAAGTGGGAAATTCCTTTGACTGTTCTAATGGCTTTCAGGGAGAACATGGCCCCTCTGAGCATCAGCCTGCTCATCTTGGAATAATAGTGTCATTCTCATACCTTACCTCTAGTCTTCAGGGTTCTCGGGTATGTGAAGCCACTATTTGATATTATTCTGGGATTATCTGTCAGGAATGATCTCAAACGCTGGTCTCCACCTAGAAGCCAGAGACAGCCCACCAAGCATTGCCCAAACTATGACAGCAACTTTACCCCACAGCTTTCCTCCTTGGCCTTACTGATCAAGCCCTTGACTTTTGGCTAGACATAGAATGATTCTTTCTGAACAGGAGATATGCTCTCCCTAGCATCTGGGGGAGGCCGTGAGCAAGGAAGTACAGGGTATGAACTGGAAAGAACTGGATTAGCCAGCGTATCCATCACAACCCATCTTTGGATTTCTTTTACAAGAAGGGTTAAACTATTTGTATCTGGGCCTTGCAATTGCAGTTTCCGTAAGTGGTGAAGGACACTGAGGGAAGGTGATTCTGTGGACTCTGTCCTAGTTAACATTAACTCTCAGTCACACAGCCCTGAGTTATCTGAGAGGGAAGCCTTGATTGAGAAATTACCTACATAAGAGTGACCTATGGGCACGTTGGTAGAAGACTGGCCACTGTGGGCAACTCAGTCCCTAGGCAGATGGTCCTAGGCTATATAAGAAGTCTAACTAAGCATGAGCCTATAAGCAAACCAGAGCACAAGCCTGCAAGCGACATTCCTCCACAGGCTCTGTTTCAGGTTCCAGCCTTGAGTTCTTACCCTGACTTCCCTCAGTCACATAGACTGTGACCTACAAGTGTAAGTAAGCCAAATAAACCCTTTCCTCCTCTAAGCCCCATCAGTTTTTAATGTTTGGTCAGGGCCCTCATTCCCTACAGAACTGGCCAGGGGACCACCAGTATCTAGCAAAAGCAACCTCACCTTTTCTTACCAGAAAATATTGAGAACCTTGCCAAGTTCGGGCAAGATGATCATCTCTGAGCCCACAGGACACCTCCCTGGCCACAGGAGTTTCTAGAATGATGAAATGGTTAGGGAAGACCCCACCTGTCCCTGTGATCCTTTGTGAAGTTGGGTCTGAAATACAATTGCAAAGTCTATTTTTAGCCAGGATATTTCTTAGTATGCAAAGGAAGAAATTTCATCTCTGGTGTATTTTATCAGGGTCAGGGGATATGCGGATGACCTTAAAAAGCTGGTTCTCTCTTGTGAGACCCAGACCATCAGGCTTAGTGGCATGTGACTTTATCCACTGAACCTTCTTACAGGCCCCTTATCTTTTCCTTCCTGTTCTTCCTTCTTCTCCTCCTCTGTTTACATAGATGGGTTCACCTTGTATAAACAACTGCATCCCACTTTATTTCCTTCATTACATATAACACTAAACATGTTACATTGAAGCATGCTTTTTGAGTCCCTTAGTGCCCGGTACCCAATCTACTTTCACAGTGGGGTTCAGATGGTCCTTAGCAGTCCTCATGCCCAATCTTCATCACACAGAGGCATCTCAGAAGGACTTTAAGAACATCCCTCTCTTTGTCCACTGAGAAAAATTCAGAATGACAGCAGACACAGAAAGGTGTCATTCAGATGCCTGATGGCTCCGTAGACCAGCTAAGAGCTGGCCAAGTAGCCCTGTTAATTTAGAAGTTCCTTCATGCAGAAACACTCTGGCTTTAACCCAGAGAGGCAGGCTACTACCTTAGCAGTCTCAGATCCCCAAAGAAAGAGCAAAACTATGGAGTGGGAACGCTCAGTCTGGCTCTCAGAAGACAAAGCATCATCCTAACTCACAGACACAGCCAAGGCTGCCCCACAGCCTCCGCTCTGCTCTAACAAACCGAGGGAGGTTGTGTGAGCCTAAGGTAAGGACCAGGATAGAATCAGAACAGACTCTGGGAAGACTCTCCTGGCATCAGCTGGCTTCTCTTTCTGCAGGGACCCAGTGACACAAAGTCAGCCTCTGTCCCTGACACCCAGAAGCACCTTGGCACACACTGTGCATTCAGAATAGTTTAATGACTGTGTTTGCAAGCTCTGCTCCATGTCAACTTTCAGAAATCCATCAAAGTCACCAGCATTTTCTCAGGAAGGAGCAAATGCCTCCGGGCTCACACAGTCTTCAACTGACAACAGGGTGAAGGACTGATAAAACCGTCGTGCACTGAAGATATGGGAAATTGAGCATGCCCTAAATGCATGCAACACCACCCCAATCGTCTGCCTCAGCTCAGCTCAGCAAAAGAGCACACGACACTGGAGTGATTGCTTCCCCTTGTGAGCACACAGCCAGAGCTTCAACTACAGAAAGTGTCACCTCATATCAGCCTGGGGAGAAGGTCAAGCTTCTAATTTAGAAGTATGACTTCCGTTGAATGTGTGTCTTTTTCTCACCATAATAAAATGGAATGATCCTCTGTAGAACTACCCTATGTGAGGTCAAGGGTCATCCATATGTTTTCCTAGTGGCCTGTGCCCCCAGAGTGAGGTTGCTTTTTCTGCTGGCCACTCCCTCTCCTGCCTTGACCCCTGCAGTAAGGTGGACAAAGCTTTAGAAAAGAAGGGTAGAGGGACATGCGGAGGTGGACACTGCACTGAGGGACAGAGGTACAAGTGAGACAGATGAACTTCCCTGTTTCAAAACTTCAGCCCAGCCTTCTTCCTCAAACCTCTTCTCCTTCCCTATTTCAGACTCTTTTGTCTCCTCACAGTTCTCCAGACCCTGAACTTGAGTTCCTATGGTCAATGCTAAAGGTCAACTGTATGAAGAGGTTAGCCCATCTTCAGTGAGAGGTCTCCATCATGGGTACCTATCATTCACTTCCAGGAAGATGAGATGACAACTTCAGCTGTGAGAGAATATTTCGGACCACGCACATACCTGTAAGTCAGGTGTGACTCATGTGTAGAACTGTGTGGGCATCTGGACCAGTGGAGAATTGTTCTGAACTCTCACCCACTCAGGAAGACAGAAATCCCTCTGGTCTCTGCAGCATGGGAGGTTCTCATGACAATAGGAAAAACAGAGCATATACAGTGTTCTATACTGGCAAGCATGTGTCCAAGAGGAAGGATACT